TGTATAAAATAAAAAGCAAAATTCCCTATTTATTCTCCAGTACTTCTATTTCCCAGCACTTCTATTCCCTGTGAGGCATCCACTATTAATATTTTATTTTGTATCCTTCTGAATGTTTGTTTCCTAAGTCCTTCTTTTCTTTTCCTTCTATTCTATTAACCTATTGCCTTTGTTTTCTGCTCTTGGCATGCTGCACCTCAAGCAGTCTCTTTGCTCTTCTTATTTGCTACTTAGTCTGGGAAACCAGACAAACAAATCTATTAGAATTATTTGTAAATTTAGACAACATAATTTATGAGTGAAGGCCTTACAATTCTCTGATCAAAGAGTATGAACTTTACTGGTTACATTTCCTGTTTTGCATCTCTACTGCTATTAGGCATCTAGAACCTACTTCCTGATACTAACTGCATCAGTAGCTAGAAAAGTAACCTTCGAATAAGTGAGGTGTTACTATCTTTACTTTTCATAGGCCGAGAGTGAATTACATTTATGAAACATTTTAATGTTATCTTTTCACGTGTTCACACAACTGACCATGAAAGGAAAATTCTGTAAAATAAGAAAACAGCAGTTAAAAATACTTTTTTTTAGTATGTTCATTCATTCAGTAAATGTTTACTGAGTGCCTGCCACCTACCAGGCACTGCATAGATATTAGGAATGTGAAGATTAAAAAAAACAAACCTCTTCACTACTTTTTTTTTAAAGCTTTCACAAACACTGTTTAGGAACACCTAATAGTGCATGCTATAGTCTTCTTTGGCTGGATTCTTCTTTTAAAATTTGCATCTGAGGTTGGCCGAGTGCAGTGGTGTTTACAACTAATTGATCACAACCAGTTACAGATTCCTTTGTTCCTTCTCCACTCCCACTGCTTCACTTGACTGGCCTAAAAAAAAAAAATCTGTGTCTTTTGTCTTTCAAAGATGTATAGCAGCAAACTCAGTTCTCTATTGATAACATATTGGTACTTGGGCCTCTGCTTATTTTTCTACGTGTTTTTTTTTGCTATCATAGTGTAGTTATGCCCCAGTCGCCCTGGCAGCATTTACTTTAAGTGCAAGAGGGAAGTCCCATGCAGGTGGTAATCAAGGACATTTGGACTTCCCGTTGCATTGCATTGCAATTCACACCACTGCCTAATATTCTTTCCTTTTTTCTTTCTCTCTCTTTCTTTTCTTCCTTTTGTTTCTTTTTTCTTTCTTACTACAAAAATTGCTGAAATGCCAGGAGTTTGGTTAGGGGTGAGTAGGGAAGTTTGGAATGTTTTTAATCCTGTATTCAGTGTTCTTGGTAACACTAGAAGAGCAGCAGAGCCATGAATCCAGTCATGCTCTTGGCTAAAGCAGTCTACCCTGACTTAAGTGCTCCTCACATGAAAAAAGATCTAGGGCTTTAGTTGATAGTAAATGCAACCTGAGCCAGTGATGTCGCCTGGCTGCCAAAACAAGTAAATGTGATCTGAACTGGCATTAAGAGAAGGCTGGTGGCTGGGACAAGGAAGGTAATAGTCCCAGAGTACACTCTGCAACGGTCAGATCACACCTGGAGGATGGTGTTTCCCCCGCATGTTAAGAGTGATGTTGACAAGTTGGAATATGCCCTAGTTGGGCAGCAGGATAATGAATGGCCTAGCAACTATGTCCTTTGAAGAACAGTCGGAGGATCTGGGGTAGTTTACCCTGGAAACTAGAAGACATGGTGGTGTGGGATAACTATTTTCAAACATTCCCTGGGCTATCATGTAGAATTGGACTCTTCTATGTAATCTCAGCAAACACAACTTAGACCAATGGGTGTACGTTACAAAGTAGCTGGTCTTGCCTCCATAAAATGAAGAATTTTCCAGCGCTTATGAACATCTAGAAAATAGCAGTTCTGAAAGGTAGTGACTTAACCTTAATAGAGGGTGCTGGAAAAGAGGCTGGCTGACTTAACATCAGAAGATTCGTTAATAGGATGGGAAGTTTGGAGAGATGACCCAATGCAAAACCCTTTGAGATTCAAAGGTTCTGATGATGAACCTTAAGAAGGAAGAAGGTGTCAGTATTTTTCTTTCTAAGCTTCTATACAAGTATTGACCAAAAAAACTATGTCAGAATAGATTCCACTGCAGAATATCAAAGTTATGACAGTAAAGGGGAAAAAAGCCACAGCTACTTTGTTTTCCCTGGTGGTTATTTATTCTGTGTATAAAGGTTTAAGCGTGCTTTTTTTTTTTTTTTTT